GTCAGAGAATATGTTTTAAATAATCAAATTTTTATGTGATAATAAGGGAGAGGGCTTTCCTTGTACACAGACATTTTTATTTATTTTTTTAAAATTTCCATTTTGAGGTTGATATCGGTTTGCAGTAGTCAAATTTTAATAGCAATGCATCTAAATAAAAAGATCAGTAAAAAATATTGATATATAAAATATAGATATTTCATTATTTTCCCAACATTCCTATCTATTTTCTGGTTAAACGAATGGATACACACACACAGAAAAATTATACACTGCCAAAAGAAATTCTCAATTCCATATTTAAAAATAATAAAATTATTGTAACACATACGCAAAACAAATAAACAATATAAATTTGAATAAAGAACACGAATAAAAAGCGAAATGTTCCAAAAATCAAATAAATAAAACCATATTTATAAATATCATAAAAATATAAATATAAATACCGTTTCAAAATTGTGAATTAATACTTCAAACAATTCACAGTCTACATCATAATGAAATGATAAAACAAATCAAGCTGGTGAATAAATTTGTGCAGTGACAAAACAAAAGATAAAATGTGGTTGCCGATAGTTCGATATATTCAAAAATAAAAAATCAATAATTTCTTACTGTGTTAACTTATGGAATTACCAATATACATTATCTCCTGAATTTTCTTTTCAGTGCCTAAATATGATTCAATTTCACACGATCGTTTCAAAATTCAAGATTCAAAATTACTAAGCATTTTCCGATTATTTTTCTATTTCTAAAACATATAAATGAAAGTGAGTGTTTCAGATTTAAATAGTAAAACCTTAAGAGTCAACTTTGTAATATAATACAAAATAACCAATATCCTTCCTGGGTCGCTATTAGATTTGTTTTGAAATAAATACACATAGATATAGCTTATTTTATTATTATTATTGTTTTTTATTAAACCAACTTATTTTAATACAAAATTAACACCGAGTAAATTTCACATAACAAAAGAAATCAAAAAAAGGATATATTACAAAAACTTAATATAATTTTTTTTCACAAAAATTCCGTTTGTCGAAGCATTTTATATTTGTATTTTTTCTATGTGCTTATCAGTCTTTTATCATGTTATGTTTATAAATGCTCAAATAATATTTTCTGAATCTAAAATAAAATGGTTCAGGACTTCAAAACATCGAAGAAAATCATTTAAAATTATATATGTATATATATATATATATATATATATATATATATATATATATATATATATATATATATATATATATAAAGGTTAACAAAGAAACTGTAAAAATACCAAAAATCTAACTCTATGAATTAGATTTGTTATAACCTTTGTTTATCTAAAATAACAATTTTTAAAGCAAAAGTTTAAATGATCGAAATAAATGATTTATCAAAAAACAAATATTAAGCGATTTTGACCGGAGTTTGGCTACTAAAATCAAATATTGCTTTGATATGTATATATTAATACAAATTATAATTTAGTAAAAATTCGAGGTCGTTTCAGCTACATTAGTATTTCATTTCTGGATATTTATTTCCTCCTAAAATTAATTCCTAAAAATAAGTTATGTTGTTACAAAAGCTAACTCTGAGGAATGAGCAGGTGGTTTTATCGAAGAAGAGTAAATCTGTTTATAATGTAAGCCGAAGTTTCTGTTGACTAAGGGAAGCAAGTCAGTTATACCCTATATAAAACAAACTCAGTAAATTTGGTAAAATCAACGGAATATAGCTGATTTTGGCTAATCTTTCTTATAATCGATCTATTGGCAACCACAGATAAAGATATCACATTGCTAATGCTCGGAAAATGGTCTGTTATATTATTTAATACAAAAAAATATATAAGAAAAAAAAAGGGAGTAAAATTAAGCATGGTATTCAAGAGAACCTGAAAATGTGATTTAAGATAAAGAAACGTTCCATAAAGAAAAACATTCATGCTTTATTTAAATACCAAGGCAAAGAACAACAATACTAATCCTTCATAAAAAACAAGTCTACAAGCAAAATAATATGTCAAGGTTTATCAATAATAAGTATCAGTATATACATGAACATATTGGTCTAAGGCTTAATAACCTATTTGGTGGTTTCACTATCTTGTTTACAAAGTGTTCTAGATTTTCACTGGTTGTGTTTGATGTCAAGTCTGATTGAGATCAATAATAATAGGTGAAGAATTGTTCGAGCAAGAAATGTGAATTAAATTGTGCATTGTGCATAGTGCGTAGTGTGCACATCCAGCCGATAGACCTATAGAGAAATTGAAAAAAAAAAAAAAAGAAATGGCTGGGCATAGACAAATACCAAGTGCATAGACATAAATTATAAAAGTAGTGAAGGTGCCTACAAACAACGAGTGAATGCACACTTACAAGTAAGTCAAGTGGATCCCATTATTCAAAGATTGGCGAAAGCGATCAAACAGAAAACAGAAATGATGTAGAAAATAGTACCATGGTATGGTAAATAATTCCCACAGTTCCATAATCAAATAATGCATTGTATAATAAAATTAATTATAAATGAAAAAATAACAAACAAAAAATTGCTAGGATTTAACTAGAAGAATTAAAAAACAAAGTCTTAAGTATTTCAAATATCAGTAATTAAATAATCAGCAAATTCGGTCATCATCAGGATATCTGGTCTCATCAGCTAGCTCTAGTTGATCTAATAATGTGAACTGTGGAACCTACATTTATGCGATTTTGTCTATTTCTCATTAACTGAGGAATTGGTAAAATGTTGGCTGGTTATATATTTACTGGTATTTGAGAGAATTAAGGGTTTGCTTTTGGAGTCTTCCCATTGTATCCTAATATCATTATTTAAAAAAAAAAAAAAACTTGTTCCAAAACTATGATGTTTTGAAATAAAAGAAAAAGTAATGAACATGGACATAATTTAATTTATGTTTATACTATTTTCCGAACATCATTTCTAAAACTGGATTCCTGAAATAAGATAATTCAAAAAGCAAACAAATTAATTAAACAATCATAAACATAAACAAAGTTTGTACATCATGGATATTACTTTGAAACCAGTATACATAATTCAAAGCTTCAAGAAGTGTTCATAAACGGTGGGAAATGAAGAATTGTTCGTAGATGAACAAACAAGATTCAATGATCATATTACATGTTTGTGAATGGTTTCTGATTACCCATCGAGTTCCTCTTTCCTATTAACAAACCAATTACCAAAACCATTCACAAACAACAATCCAGAATCACTAGAATGATAGATAAACAAAAAAAAAGAAAAAAATGTAGAAGTCGATCACCTTCATGCAAAAATAACATTTTTAAATATGAACTATAATTGAATATTACGAATGACCCTTCTATTCACATTGCATCAAGCTGGTGAACCAAAAATAAACATTGTGAGATACTTGAGAAGGTTTATGATGTTGACAAAAAGTAGCAAACCATAATTGAGTGAAAAAGATAGTAAAAGATGAATATTTACAATCAAAGAATATATTTTTCAAGAATACTTTAGAAATAATAATTTGTGATTATCAATAATATATACTAAATAAAGTATATATGTGCAGTATATACACATTTTTATTGAAAACAGTATGTTCAGAAGGATGTGGGAACATTTCTAATTTTAGAAAAAAAATCTAAATGAAAATAAGACAAAGAGAAAAGAAAATGTTTTTGCAAAATAGCAAATCACCAACAAAAGTCATTACTACAAAACATTTGGAAAGAGCCACCCTAAATTACATGATAAAATTTTTCCTGATTAAAATGTGTAAAAAGCAGCTCAGAATCATTAAAATGTTGAATAATCTGGAACCAGGAGCTTAAAGCTTAGCATGATTAATTCAGTTTTACATTAGTAAGATTAATTCAGCATGAACAGTTTGTTAGAAGTTAATAATAAATGTAGATTTGTCTATTAAATAGATTAAGAAAACAAAAAATATAAGATATCCTGATTTTTTCTACAAGGGCATTTCTTCAGAGAAATCATCATTCTCCCTAAATAGATCTTTTGGAATGATTTGATGAAACATAACGAAGATGGAAAAATTCTTAACAAATACAAAACATAAGTAGAATTGCAAAAATTTACTTGCAAAAAAATTAACAGCAATAAACAATGGTTTACTTCAGAGTGGAAAAAGCTGCTTCAAATATAGGTCAAAAGTCCTAAGCAATCAGTTTTAAAAATAAATATTCTAATAAAATAAAAAATCTTCATGATTGATCCTTCAAAATTAAAATTAATCCAAAAGATATAACTATTATCAATGCTATAATTTTAAATTATTCTGGTAAACTTAACAGCAACTGCTCATTATAATTTGTCAAAGAACATCTTTGTATGCTGAATAAATATAAAATTTTCCATAATGCATTTATGATTCAGTTGATATTTATATTTTAGAGGTCCAGAGAAATACATCTCTTGAATAGTCCCTACTTTGATTAAGATTAAGGAACATGTGGTAAGTATACACCAGGGGTAGGACAAAAAGGCTAGCTCGCCACTATAATTTCATTACCAGAACCATCATCTTGGATAAAATTAAAATAATGAATCAATTAATATTTAGGATTTATTAAAGAGGAGAAGCGACATCTGAGTTTGCTTTCTTTAAAAGCATAGCATAATTTGGTAATGGTAAAGTATAGCAGGACAAAATTCCTCTTATTATCGCCAGATTTTTTAAAATTATTAGCCGGCAAGTCTGAAAAAAAAGAGTAAAGAACCTCAAATCAACTATAACAGAAGTGAATAACGAATGCAGAAGACTTCAATGCAAGTATATATGTGTTGAATATAACCAATAACGAATATGCAACAAACGAACAAGAGGATATACAAGTAAGACACATTACACATAGTAATGGACAAAAATAATTTTTTACAACAAAACAATTGTAATAAAATATATAATGAACATAAACAATCAAAAATTAGTTATTAAATTTAAAAGTTAAAAAAACAACCCCAAATGGCATCCAGACCTGTCTCCCCGGTTGGAACAATCGTTGGCGTGGAGGCTGGTCCTCGACCAAGGTTGTTGACCGCTATGACGTAGAACTCATACTCCGTGTAAGGGCTGAGTCCTCGCACTGTATAGTACATCGTGATGATGCCGCTGATCTCCGAATAGGCCTGATTGGCGAACTTGGGTTTGTACTGGATCACGAAGTACTGGAAGTCTTCTTTGGCCGGGTAGGACCAGGAGAGCCGAACCGTTGTAGCTGTCACATCGGAGAACTGGACGTTCGTCGGAACGCTTGGGAGAGCTGAAAAATAAGAAGAAACTTAAGACAAAAAAAAAAAAAAAAAAAAAAAAGAAAAAGAAAATTTCTGCACTGAAAGAAGCAGTAGATTAAAACATTTGGTCATCTTCTGGAACATAAGATGGTTTTGTTTTACACTTTATCACTTTTATAGAACATCCAAAAAGGATCATGCAGAGTTACGATTCTTGTATTTCTATAATGTTTTTAGTTTCATTACTGCTGTCTCATTTTTATGTGAATTGTACAGCAAGAAGAAGTGAAAGAATATACTTTCGAGAATTTATTTAATTCCACGATAACTTCCACGCTTTTTATGAACGCAGATGTTTAGACAACTGGACAGATTTGAAGACCTCGTCAGATGTGAAAATGAGATGAAGTGCAATAAAGTGATTTTAACTATGGAGGGTTTTGAAGTGTTCTCTGATATAATAAATTAATATTTAAATTTGCTATATACCACCTAAAATTTTTTTAAATGTTAGTATTTATTATTTTCTATAAGAAGAAGTAATTTATTTTATTTTTACCTAAAATTTGTCTTTAGTTGACTCCTCTCTAAATTTATTAGAAATAAAGCTATCGTAATTATAAACATTGCAAAGCGAATTGAAGACTGGAGTTAAAATAAATGCAGTGTAGCAAAAAATAAAATCCTTTTCTGGACTATTATGAAATGAAGATGATGAAGTATTGAATTTTTCTAATCACGAACAGGAAAAAAACAGTGTTGAAGCTAGCCATGATTAAAAAGAAAAATAAGAGGGGAGAAAGGTATATAAATTTCAAAAAGGTCATGAGAGAGGTTTCGTTTGAAATTGAAAATAACTTTGGTGGTTAAACGGAAATCAATCTATGGTTAGGATGGAGTCGATGTGTGATTGAAACCGGAAATGGGAAAGATGAAAAAGTCGCCATTCCGAGGGTCGATGTAGGAGAGGTAATATCCAAAAATGTTTTTACAGCCGCAGTCGGGGAAACAACAGGCGATCATTTTTAATCAAATGTTACCGCCTTAAAAATGAGTTTTGTGATCAAGCTCCTATCCATCCATTTATTGAGATAGCCCGCGAAAAAACGTCCTCCCCCTCCCCGCAGAATGGTACCCGGGATTCCGATTCCCAATCAAACAAATGAAAAACAACCCCAAAATCTACATGTAACATCCGACCAAGTGTCCCCCCGGGGTTCGGCCTTGTTTTAACAATGGTCAACCGCCCAGGTGGAAATATTAACTCTGATTACATCTGCCCCCATTTTTTTTTCTTTATTTATTTCCAGATCGCTATCAGATTTTTTCCCTATGGTCGTTTTCGTTACATCTTCCATATCTGCGCATCGCAAATAATGTCATTGTGATTATATTCAAAATGAAATATGTAGTATCCTGACGAGATACCTTCACAAAGCGATTACATCTTTCTAAAACAAAATGCTTCTGTTACAAGAGTAACAAAGAATTTTAGAAGCTAATCGGGGAGAAAATTTAAGCGTTATTAACAATGACAAGTTAAATTTAACAAACGATTTTTAAAATGATATACTAGTATAATATTTGGCTATGTTATAACTACATGATTTTTATTTGTTCATGTTAAATTAAAAAATACATTTAAAACATAAAGTATAACGAAAAATAAACATGCGATATACATAAACTTTAGCCATTTGGAAAAAGCACCTCAGATAGGAGAAGCGCTTCGGGTAAATTTTACAATAAATAAGAATTACAATAATGAGGGGCACATACCTCCCTCCTCCCAAACCCCTAGCTAATGGGCCATTAAATCAGGATAATGTTGCCAAACCGACTACCCCACGGCTATTAGTAGGGAAATGGTTAGGAGAGAAATGTACCTACGCTCGACTCCCAAAGAAGGTCAAATAGTCATTTCAACGTATATCCAACTATATCTCTTCTAAGTGACTATTGATAATGACAAATTTATGAATGGTTATGAGTTACGAATCATCAATATTTATAATTTTATTTTTATTCCATAAATTATTTTTCTATATAGTTAAAGAGCCTCAACGCACGCAAGACTTATGAAATAGATTTATTATGAATAACAAACATAGATACGTGACTAACTATAGATCTAATTTAGCAAAATAACTAGGTAATGAGATAAAAATGACAGAGAGAGCTCCGATTGCTCCAAAGAGTTTAGATAAGAGTAGCAAAGAAGTGACTCATACTCGTAGTTCTGAAAATAACTTCTCTCTGCTATCTGAAGCTATCAGCGTTCTCACCATATTTTTTTTCTTAATTTCTATTTTGGTCAGCCAGATTTTCCCTTTTTTCTCTCAGAAGAAATTAAAAATCCCTTCCTCCCAAATACATTGAAAATAATACGATATACATTTAAAATAAAACTACCCTCTTTATGTCTGTTTAATTTAAAATATTACAAAAACAGAATAAACTGTGCTGAGATCAGGCCCCCTCCTACTCTTGGCATTTCCCAAAAAAAATGGAACTTTTTCACCAAAGTGGAAACCTTGAAAGCTATAAACCAGTTTATTTGAATAATAATACAATCTAACACATACATATAAAATACAATGCATACATACAAAAGGGAAATAAATAGAGATAATAAATAAATAAAATAATAATAATTAACAATGTAAATGAAAATAAATAATAAGATAAAAGGAAAATAAAAATGTTCACTTCAGAAATAGAATTTTTCTGAGACACATTCATACCTATGTACAATATTTACATTCGTCCAGAGAACTTCGAACCAAGGTTTGTCATCCAGAAGGTGAAATGCAAAGCAAGACTCCAGGAGATCCTAGTGCTTCTCCCACTCTATGGTGGACTCAAGAGCTACAGACCTTCAGAACTTGAGTGGAGAACCTGGCCATTGCCAGAACTCCAAAAGCAATAGGGGGTATCACACGATATTAACAAAATTAATAATCTTTATTACGAAAAAAAAAAAAATAAAACGAAAATTCTCAAAAGAATATTTTATCATTTTTTAGAACGTTTGTGGTATTGTAAAGGGTATTTTTCACCAAAAATAACAACAACTTAACACCACAGATGAACATACTAGTTCGTCGGTTTTTCTTGATATTTAGTATATTTATTGTGGCACAAAATTCATTAAGATATTTTCCCAAGTGAATCTTTTTTTTAAATTTTCATAGCACCTTATTTATTTTTTCAATATGTTTTATGGACTCAAATTTCCCCTCTTCTGCGCATTTTCATTTTAAAGAGGTTTATACTGACATAATAATTTCTATTATTTCAAATTTCTTATAAGGCTATGAGGTTAAACCTATTTTTTTCTGTCAAACTTAAACTAAAATTTAACTCTTAAACAACTTTTGCAATCTTTGAGGTGGTCCACAAGGTATAAGTTGGTTGAATACGGAATTTACTGGAATTATATTTGTCTCGGATTGGTAAAATTTGGAATTCCATTCAGTTATGAAGTTCTTTACTTTTGGTACTTTTAATTGTTTCTGTGTTGATAGTTTAACTTTTCGTAATGCTGTGTCAGGGCAATTAAATTTAAAAAAATTGAGATACTCGTTGCAATATCTCTATTGCACACTAATACAAGTTCTATATCTCTTACACAGTTGGTCCTCTTACAAACCTCTTTTAAAGTTTTAATATAAAGCAAGTGAATTATATTTTAAATTGGGGTGGCATTAGTGATTTCCTGGAGGCGCAATAACCCAGGTAAACATCCCCAGTAATCCATTTCTACGGCAATAAGTTTATGTTTATGTCCAAACGCTATTCTTACAACCACACTTCTCAGTACTATAATACAATGGTCTCTAAAATATAGGAGAGTAATTTTATCAAATAGAGGCATGTCCTCTTAGCAAGCAGTTCTAATTGTTATTCTGGCCCTTAAATGGCTTCGTATCTTTAATAGCAGCTTTTGATGGGATGCCATATAATTATTTTTAATGTAACAAAATATTATATCCTAGTATCCTAGGTCCTATCCTCTATACAGTTTATACAGTTGACATCCCTACCTATCCCAATTCTGTCATCACCACATATGCCAATGACACATGTATCCTATCAGTAAATAATGACCCAGCAATTGCATCCCAAATGCTTCAATCACACAGAATAAATCTTGAAGGATAGTGTCAAAACTGGAGAATTAAAATAAACTCCAATAAATCCCATCAAATCACCTTTACCCTTCGTCGTAAACCAATGACTTAGTGTCCTACAGTTTCCTTTAACAATACTCCACTAATCCCTGTTGAGCAAATCCGATACCTAGGACTTCACCTGGACAAACGACTAACTTGGAATCCTCATACTAGACTGAAACGACAAGAAACCGCTCGACGTTTCCGATTACTACAGCACTTACTGGACAAACGCTCTAAACTTTCAATTAATTACAAAAGGCTCATATACTTCACTATAATAAGGCCTATTTGTACTTACGGAGTTGAGCTATGGGACTCCACTAAACCATCGAATTCCTCTCGTATGCAATCCTTACAATCCAAAATCCTTCGTAAAATCCTCAATGCTCCCTACTTTGTTACAAATAAAACCATCCATAATGACCTTAATGTTTCTTTTGTTTCAGATCTGGCCCAATCCAGATACCTATCCTTCCATAATAAACTTCAGAACCATCCCAATCCTCTCGTTCCTAACCTTGCTTCCTCTTCAATTCCTGATAACCCTCGGAGGCGTCTGAAAAGAAGATGGCCCCGTGATCTCTTAATGTAGCCATATCATTAGAGTGCTACCATTGCGTAGTTACTCAGCAAGTGTTTTCATGTCATTATATCCATTATGTTAAAATTTACTGAATTGTAATTACTGGTTGTAAATAAGATTAAGAAATAAAATAAAAAAAAAAAATAAAATTATGCTTACATTGGACTTTGACTAGAGTTGCCGCTTCGATGATGCCGAGCGCGGTGGAAGCTATGCAGGTGTAGTTGGCGCTCTCCCTGATGTTCTTGAGGACGAGGACGTTCCTCCCGATGGGTAGCTTATCGTCCGGGGTGAGGTCTTGAGCCGGCTCTCGCCTCCACTTGACGTAGGGCATCGGCGACCCCACCGCCACGCAGGTCAGGTTCAAGTCAGCCCCCAGCGTCACCTCCAGCATCGGGGGAGGAGGAATCGAGAACTGCGGTGGTACACGCCTCACTGGAAAAAGTAACATAAGTTGAAACGTTAGTATAAGGCACATAAGCACAATAATATTCTTCATTCAACCGAGGAGCATTAAAAAAAACTTTGTAAGGTTTAAAATTACGTGGGTTCAGTACCTTGTAAGAAGTACTGTTTCAAGGCCAACGGTCGTGCAGGGAGGTGATCGAGTCAGGATCACGCTCAACCGTATGTTTTTTCCTATCTAATTTATAAGATTACCCAATTTATAGAGACCTGGGTGAGCCCCAGTAAGGTCTTCCGACCTTAGGATCGGAAACAGAATATATAATTATCTGCCACAAGAACCCGAGACCTTAAGCTTACGTAGTGGATAAGTTATTCAATAAGTCATTAGACTTAGTATAATAATAAATTTCATTATGAAATTTACAATAATTTTAACCAAAATAATATTTCATAATGTTTTAAAAAAAAATTCAATACTTTTCTTTTATAGCTAAAATAAGAACTGTTAATAAGAATTTGTTAAATAAACTAAGAATTGTTTTAGTTTGCTGAAGGTTTCTTCCCTTGAAAATGGCCTGAGGGCTGAAATGTTGGATGCAGACATAAAAATAAAGTAGGACTATTGTGCGTGTTTTTATTATTACTAATAAAGTAAAGAAGTCTAAAAAAAACAAAATTAATATATATATATATATATATATATATATATATATATATATATATATATATATTAATTTTGTTTTTTTATATATATATATATATATAATACTAGTTGGCCCGCGGAAATTCTCGTAGTATACTGTTCAGTGAACGAATAAAAAAAATAGTAAGTTAATGCAATGTATTATGAGATCGAATTACCATGAACTGCAATAGTTCGTTCATTACAAAAAATCGTAGAATGTGAATTTGCTTATATCTCACATCTTTGCTTATAATGACTCAATTCCCAGGATTTAACTTTTTTAATTTTGCAGTTAATTAAGTAACATTTTGATTAACCCACAATCGTGGGTGTAATCGACAACATATTGCAGAGTTATGCGCAAATAAAGTTTCTTTTCTTTCTTAACTTTTTCCCCTGATATTTAGGGAGATAATCTACAACGGCTCAATATTTGAATCTGATGACTATTTAACGATGTGGCACAAGTGCATATCGTGTTAAGTGCAAAAATCATATTTATGGAAAAAGGTAATTAAAAATTTGAAATTTACGTAAGTGCAAATTCAATTTTCGTGTTTGATTATGATTCACAAAGGAATGTTCATCTCTGTAATCGTCGCATAAAATAGCCCATTAGACATAAAGAAAGAGAGAAGAAATTGCTTAACTTTTAGGGGGCTGTGGTACACTCAGGAGGCCTTAAACGTACGTAGTGGATAAATTTATATCCATGTTATAAATAACGTTATAATGGCAAACTACCGATCATGTGATGGATTCCTTATCACTTATTTTAAAGTGATAAGAAATCCATGGTAACAGTGATATCAATATTAACTATCGCTAGAATATGGTTGGGACCATGCCTTATCTGAAAAATACGGAACATTTTAAGGTTTTAAAGTCTAGTTCTTGTTCTAGTATACCGCTATAATTATTGTCATATGACAGTTTATTATATTCCTAAATAAAGAAATAGTCTAGTTCTATAGTACTATATACGTATATATATAAATTGTGACCTAGAATTCCCTTTTGTGTGAGGAAGAACAAATAGTGGATGGTGCAATGTAGGCTGTGATCTCCGAAAGCTGGGAATAAATATCAAAATGGCAGAAGATAGAGCACATTGGGAAAGGCTGATTGAGCAGGCTAAGAACAGCCATATGCGTCTGTTGTGACAATAAAAGAAGATTCCCTTTCCTTTGATGCTTCATTCAGCAAATTACATCGCCAATGAGAGCCAAAAAAAGATCTATAATACCAAATTACATTTTAATAGAAATTTTTAACATTAATGTGAACCACAACTTTCCGGCGGTGGATACAGATCAAAGGAAAATTGATTTAATTTATAATAAATTTAGGTATAGATTTTGTTTATTCTGTACGGACCATTAGTTCATGAGAAACGAATGAGATTCTCATAACGTTTCAGGATCAATAGGTTTTTTTTTTATATAATTAAAAAACCTTAAATAAATTCTCCACTGTTTTAAACAAAGAAATGGCAAACTACCGATCAAAATATAAAACTTATTTTCTAAACAAGAAAACATTCCTGAAACAAAGACCAATCCAGCCAAAACAAAAGCCTAGCTATGTTCCATTAAAAATTCAACACCAATTGTGACGCGATACCACTTGAGGTTCAGGAATCACCCTGCTAGTGTTCTAGCTTCGAATCTACTCATATTTATACCAGTATTTGGGGCGAATAAAGCTTTTTATCTGCTAATGAGTTGGAAACTGTCTATCACTATAGTGTCAATAGATTAAAAACTAATAGTAATTTATAACAATGAGTGGATATTTTATTAACTGACTGATCCCTGATTCAGAAAAAAAAAGATGATTTTTCATAGTTATATCACCTTATGTCATGACGGAACTTTATTATGATGAGATAATGATACGTTCATTTATGTGAAAATATCTGAGAAACACGGTATGAATCTTCTCTATGTTGACTTCTTATCGTGTTACCTGATTATAAAATTAAATGTTAATGTTAACATGTTGAAATATATTTTAATAACATTCAAATCCCAACATCAGATGTAACTAGGTATTTAGGTTTTTACCTGGACAAAAGACTTACTTGGAAGACTCACATCAGACAAAAACGAATAGAATTAAACAGATGATACGGTCTCTTATCCAAATTACTTGACAGACGTTCAAAATTATCTTTAACTAACAAACTTACCCTTTATAAAGTCTTACTTAAACCTATTTGGACTTACGGCATAGAACTGTGGGGCTCTGCTAAAACTTCCAACATTAAAAAATTTCAGTCCTTTCAGTCAAAAGTGTTGCGAAGGATAGTTGACGCACCTTTTTATGTCGCAAATGACACACTACATAATGACGTACCTACAATTTTAGATACTGCAAAAGACAAGTACAATAACTTTCACCAAAGACTGACGTACAACATGAATCCTCTGACAGAAATCCCTCATCGTACAAGAAACCCGTACAGCCCACCACGACGATTACGTAGGCGTTGGCCAAGAGATCTGCTGATCTGATTTATATCCCGGACGTGATGGGAAGCTGTGAAGCTGCTAAAAAATTTGTTTATTGCAAAGAAATTTGCAGATTGCAAATTTAATCTAATGTTACACATTTTTGTTTGGTTAATAAATAAATAAATAAATAAATAAATGTTAACATCAATCGTTTTATGAAATAACAATCGCCATAAAAAGTTATGACAAGTTGAACACATGAGAACTAGACGCCCCTCACCCCAGCTTTGGGGCCTGACAGAGCGTCCGTGTTGTTAATGGGGTAAGGGCTGCCTTACATAATGGCCAGAATTGGAGGGGCAACATTGTTTCCACAGGAATTAGGCAAATGGTAACGATTCTTTCCGCCAAGTTTTCACTAACTTCCACTTTTCCTAAGCCGCTAACAGAAGTATATTTACTTTAGTAACGGTCGTTCAGCAGCGGCTAATACCTAGCTTTAAGTATCCACCATTTCATTACCAAAAAGAAAAGGAATAAATAGCATTAGCGGAAGGTGAGGAAAAATTTGATCTTGAAAAAATTAACTGCACAATTGTCGCTTTTATTATTATTATCCGTATCCGTACATATATTATTACAGTAAGGCTCGAAAACGGTTTTGTACCAAATATAAGCTCCTGTCGTGCTCAAATACTATGAATGGGGTACCGTTGGATTCAGAATTTCACGGGGGGTTAGCGAATCGTATTCTCCATTTTTGTTTTTCTTTCTAAAATAAATAAAGTCGATACAAACATTTTGCTAGGCTTCAATACCTGAATGGTGGTAGGTCTGTAGATCGACACGGGACAAATTGGATCTTGAAGATTTTGATGCCTACAGCAAGACCCGGATAGTTCCTCCGGCGTTTTTAAGCCCAAAAACGTACTCTTTTCGAGATAACGCAAGGCATAGAGTTCGCATCCACACAACCTTATATTAATTGTAGTACTGTCATTGGATACATCCAGAGAGGAGGAGTTTATATTATTTATCGATGGTGTTTTTGATCGGCAAGCCAATTCATCGTCAATTTTTCACCAAATCTCAAGATTGAGCCACCAATTTCGAAATCTTCCTTCTCCTTCAGGCGGGCAATTTTTAGCTAAGACACAGCTTACTGAAATTACTGTAATTACTGAAATTTGTTTGGTTCCAAACAAAAATGAAGATTTTTGAAGATGAATTATTTTTTGTTTTCTTTGTAGATTATATTTATTGATAGAGAAACATTTGATTTCTATACCTTTTGATACGTTGCAATATTTTCTTTTCTTATTAATCTGACAATTGATAACAATATGCTGTGCGAATTTTTCACACTGGCCTACTGGTTAATTTAATTTAGAAATATTAACAAAGTTTGATAGGTTATTCTACCTTCTCTATCTTACTTTAAGTTTATTCTACTTACATAGTTGTTCATGAAATAATATGTTGAAATACTGAAATACATTATAGTATATGAAAAATGTTTCGCATCCACAGTTCTTTATGGATGCGAAACTTGGCCGCTTACATTAAGGGATGAGCAGCGTCTTAAGGTTTTTGAAAATAAAGTATTGCGTAGAATATTCGGACCGAAGAAGGATGAGTTAACCGGAGAGTTCAGACGGTTACACAACGCTGAATTGCGTGAGCTGTATCCGGGTAATATAATTGACGTAATTTCATCGCGGCGAATTAAATGGGCTTGTAAAGTTGTTGGGCTTAGTAACGAGAGAATTCCCAAAAGGTTAATATTTGCTGTGCCGAATGGTAAGCGTCCGAGGGGTAGACCGAAAAGAAGGTGGGAATATTGCATTAAAGCCGATCTGAAGGGACTGAGTTTGGACGGCGAACGGTGGAGGGAGGTGTGTAACAAGCGATGGGTGGT